AATGTTTCTTTTGCAAACCACAACACCCAAAAGGAGAGAGACAACAGAGGGGAATACCCTGCCACAGAGTCAGGGTGGGATGAGGGGGATGGGGGTGGAAGGGATACTGGGATGCGTGGTGGTGGGAAGTGGGCACTGGTGGAGGGATGGTATTTGATCATTATATAATTGAAACCTAAGCACAAAAATGTGTGTCTGCAACTGTACCTCATGATGTCTCACTATTAAAAATTTTTTTAATAAAATAAATAAATTTTTAAAAAATTGATAAAAATCATTCACTGTATTGCTGCGTAGATGCTACATAGATCTAGAGATGATGCTGCAGAGTGAAGCCAGTCAGAGGGAGGGGGACAGACAGAATAAATGATCTCTTTATATGCAGGATATAAAGAAACATAGTACGAGGATACAAATGCCCACAGCCAACAGAAATCGAGAACTGGTCTTCAATAGGAAATTTCCGATGGGGGGTGGAGGGATGCGGAAACTCTGGTGAATGGCGTGGCACTGGGATGTTTTATGCCTGAACCCTACCAATTACAGTTTTGTAAACCACACAGTGCTTAAAATAAAATTTTTAAAGATATAAAATACTATACAGCTGACTAGATACAAGTGAAATATAGTGTACAAAATTCTCATTTTTTTTTTCAGGGAAAGGAAAACTCCCTTGCAAATTCCTGAGGAAAACTTGAATGAGAAAAAAACAGTGAAAGAAATACAGGGCATTTGAAGACTGATAGTGCTGTATAAATACTTTAACCTGCCTCAAAGAACTATAGATAACCTGTTGGATTTTTGTAGAAACTTAGGAGGCTTTCCTTTTTATTCCAGTCTTCTGAGAAATTTTCTCACCCAAACCTAATTTGTTCTTTACTTTCAATGAAGCTGGCAAGAATAGAAGTCAATAGTAAGCTTCTGTCTTTTACATAATACTAAGTAGTTTCTAAGTACAGCGCAGTTTACTATTACCGCAAACACACGTTTCCTTAGTCTAGCTCTGAATTGACACAAAAGCAAACACACACATTGTTCCTCACTGTTCCCACATTTTAACTTTACTCTCTAAGGTTTCAAAAGTTACATTTTCAGAAATGTGAGGAATAATTTTTTTTGTAGGAGTACTAATATTTTTTCAGCCACTGATTAGCTGATAAAATTGGGCATGAACTCCACCTTAATCTTTTTTGTTTTTATATTTATTTATTGAATCACTGTGGGAAAAGTTACTAAGTTTTCAGGTTTAAGTCTCGGTCATACAATGATCAACACCTTTCCCTTCCCCAGTACTCATTTTTCACCACCAAGAACCCCAGTATACGCCCCCTCCCACCCTTCCAAATGCCTGCGAGGCAGATGATTTCTACTTAACTCTTCTCTACATTGATTACATTCATTATTTCGACAAAAGATGCAACATTATTGTTTAGAATTTCCGCCCAAACAATCAGAATTGCTGAAAAGGCATTGTTAACTATTTTGTTTTCTATAGCTGGTTATGAGAATCATATAATGTCACGCAGCTACAATTTTGGATTTCTGCAGTCAGATAATTACGAGATTGGTTTCTATGTGTCTGGTGTTATGGCCGTGCCAGAGAACTGCTCGTGGGGGGTAACTAGTGACCTCAATAGGACATGAAGGATGTGCCGGTACCGCCCCACTTCCCATGAGACTGCAGTTGCCCCAACACCATCGGATTGTACCTGGCTTTCCTATAAGTTCTGAGGCGGTGGCCACCTTGCTGCCGGGGGGGCGGGGGGGGGGGAAAGGCGGAAGGGAGCAACACCCTTTCCCTCCCGGGGAGGCATGGCGCTGTAGTTTAATGCATGATCCATTCACTTTTCTTCTGCAAGCTGCTGGGCTCTGGACTTAGTCCTTTTGCCTCTGGAGCCATGGCCATGCCAGAGAGCTGCTTGTGGGGGGCAACTCATGACCTTGGTAGGGCGTGAAGGACGAGCCGGTACTGTCCCCATTCCCATGAGACTGCAGTTGCCCCTTCACCGCCAGTTCATACCTGGCTTTCCAATAAGCTGTGAGGTGGCAGCTACCTTGCTGCCAGGGGGGAAAAAGATGGAAGGGAGCAACACTCTTTCCCTCCCGGGGAGGCATGGCACCGTAGTTTAACACATGGTCCATTCACTTTTCTGCCGCAAGCTGCCGAGTTCTGGATTAAGTCCTTTTGCCTCTGGAGCTGTGCCAGAGAGCCACTTGTGGGGGGCAATTCATGACCTCGGTAGGTTGTGAAGGACCAGCCGGTACCGACCCCTTCCCATGAGACTGCAGTTGCTCCATCGGCTCATACCTGGCTTTCCAATAAGCTTTGAGCGGGCAGCCACCTTGTATGCAGTCCAGATGCATTTCTGCCAAAAGCCACTGGGTTTCAAGATTTGTTTCTGAGTCTCTGGTATCATGGCTATTAATCAGCTTGATCTGGAGCCAGAGAGGCTGTTTGTAGGTGGCGACTCGGGGTCTCGTTGGGGTGGGAAGAGAGTCAGCTCCACCCCCATGTGGTGAGGCCCCGTGTGTCTCGTCACTGCAGGCCCAAACCTGACTGTCCAGTGGCCTCTGGAGGATGGCGGTCACCAGGCCGCCAGGGGCAACAGGCCAAGGCATGAAACCCATTCCCACCTGGAGTGGCCCAGAACCAGTAACCTACTGCAGGAACAGGACATATTTCTGCCAAAAGCCTTTGGGTTCCGAGATTCGTTTCTGAGACTCTGGGATCATGGCCATTAAGCAATTTGATTAGGAACCAGAGAGGCCATGCCTCCAATTATATAGCTGAGCCGGAGGTGGTTTGTGGGTGTGTCTCCCACATACCTAACTTTTGGCCATTTACTTTCTTGGTAAACTTTGCCCCAAGTTTTTGGGGTCTACCCAAAGGCACAGCAGCAATTTTGGGGTATCTGAAAGTCTGACGTTGCCATAAGGCTGCTGATGCACTCAACCTCACAGGTACAGATTGACCTGCTGGCGGCACCATACCCCCTGTGAGGAATAATTTGAGGCTCATATTTTATATGCAGCTTCACCTAGGAACTGAAAGGGAGAGCACATTTCAAGACAACTTTAGGGTTTTATTTTGTTTGGTTTTTTTTTGTTTGTTTGTTTTTTTGCTTTTTGGGTCACACCCAGCAATGCACGGGGATTAAGGGGATTTATCCTGGCTCATGAACTCAGGAATTGCTCCTGGCCGTGCTCAGGGGACCGTATGGTTTGCTGGGAATCAAACCCAGGTTAGCCAAGTGCAAGGCAAACGCTCTACCCACTGTGCTATCGCTCCAGCCCCCTCAAGACAAATTTAAATAAAAGGCATTGTTATTTTCATTTCCCCTGTCTAACATTACTTCTGAATTTGAAGAACGTGATTAAAATTAGAAGTATTGACATGGGTATACATCACATGAAAAGGACTTTCCTTGCAGTGATCCCACCTGGAAGTCTGAAGAAGTGAATAATGATAGGATTTGGAATAATTTTGTTTTGAAAGTCCTTTGTAAATTGACCATTAACCCTTTCTCATATAGTTCAGGAGTAAATATATTCGTAATTTTAATTATTCATTTTCCAGTGGCAGAATCGCCTGACCCTGCAACCAGGCTGTCTTCACCGGGACCTCTCGGAGTGGGGCGGGTTGAGTCTCCCTCTGTGTCCAAAGCCGAACCCAGGCAGCTGAAAACCTCCAGAACTTAGCCACAGCTATGCTCAAGGTCACTCTCCACATGCTGAGATGAGCCTCACACATGAAGGAACTTGCAGAGGAACCCAGGTATGCGGGACCCGTGGCTGAGATCTCCAAGACTGCTCGGATCGGGACTGGGCCTCCTCCACCCAGACCCCCAGTTTTTTCCATTAGTTGGCAGTCACACCCACAAACTGCCCCCTGTGCCATGTAATCTCATCAATGGCCAAGATCCAGAGACTATTAAACAAAACTCCCAGAAGAGAGTGATGCAGTGTTTCCTGACGCAGGCAGCCTCTTATACTCTAGCTCACTGGTGTACCTAAAGCAGCACACATGTGTTTGGCTTTAACATTCTTGTTTGTATTCTCTTAGACCCCGGCAAGCTACGAAGAATATCCCACCTGCAGAGCAGAGCCTGGAAAGCTACCGGTGGCGTATTCAATATGCCAAGAACAGTAACAATAATGGGTCTCATTCCCCTGACCCTGAAAGAGCTTCCAATATGGCAGCGTTGGGAAGGACGAATAAGGAGAAGCTCCTAAAATCTCAGGGCTGCGGAGCTGGAGCAATAGCACAGCGGGTAGGGCATTTGCCTTGCACACGGTCACCCCAGGTTTGGTTCCCAGCATCCTATATGGTCCCCTGAGCACCACCAGGGGTGATTCCTGAGTGCAGAGCCAGGAGTAACCCCAGCGCATTGCCGGGTGTGACCCTAAAATGAAAAAAAGTAAAATAAAATAAATAAAATCTCAGGGCTGAGATGAATGGAGACGTTACTGGCACCCACTCAAGCAAATCAATGAACAACAGGATGACAGTGATGCAGTGATATTTTGCAGTGCAGAAGTTTCTAACTTTTATGTAGTACCATTTAGTTTTGCTCCTGTTTTCTTAATCAGTGACACTGAGTCCATGAAGATGCCTCTAGAAACAATATCATGGAGAATTTTGCTACACTTTTCTCAATGTAGTTTATAGATTCAGTCTAGTAACAATCTAGTAATCTACTGAAAATTAATTTTGTGTAGAGCTGTGAGACAGGGGTCCAGATTATTATTCCTTTCCTTCTCCTTAGTGCATCTCACCAGTTTCCCCAACACCCTTAAAATAGGTACTACTTTTTTTTTTTGGAAAGAAATATAGCAGTTCCCTCACATCAATAGAGATTAAACATGTATCAGTTGTTTGTGTACTTAATATTCTTTAAATGCAATAGCCTCTGCAATTAACTTGCAAAGAATGTATTAAAATATTTTAATAATTTGGAACTAATCTTTTTTAAAATTCAAAATTCTCAAACCTTAATTACCTTATCATAGGCTTGTGCTTGACAAATATAGCTTTGAATATTGAAAGGATCGATTTTGATAGCCTCAGAAAAATTTCTAATAGCTTCAATGTAATTATCCAGGTACATCAAATATATGAGGCCAATATTTATATAAGCTGCAACAAAATTTCTAAAAAATGTAAAATCATGTTAGATGTTGAAATTATTCTAAATGTTCTAGAATTATGGACAAATATAAAATTACATACAACAATATACAGTAGTATATAAGTAAAGCAAAGTAATTGTTTTTCTCAGAATTACACCAGTGTAATACTGAAAGGACACTAGAAATTACTTTGTTCAATGTCTATATGTCAAAATGAGAAAACTGCATATAGAAATCCTACCCTTCGATTACCGTTTTTACTTCAGCCCACTTTTTTGCCCTTGTATAACTGAAACTCTTTTTCTCCTCTTCCTGGATGAAAAACATCCCAAAGAAAATCACTGTGGCCATTATGGCCCCATGCCAGAGGAATTTCCTGAGCCAATTTATCTAGGATTAGCTAAGTTAAACAGCTCACTCGTTGGTATGAAATTGGAATGATTTTCCTCCTAGTGAATACTTCTAAAGAAATGGAATCACTTTATTAAATTCTAAGGGGGTTGGAGGTTTTGGACAACATCTGGTGATGCTCAGGGGTTACTCCTGGCTCTTTACTCAATAATCACTCCTGGTGGTACTCAGGGGAACATTTGGGATACCAGGGATTGAACCCACATGCAAGGCAAGCACCCTATCCTCTCTACTATCTCTCCAGCCCCTAGTTGGTTTGCTAATAGTGTACTATGTAGTACTTTCAGTCTATGGGTTTTTTATTTTTTTGGCTTTTTGGGTCACACTCAGCAATGCACAGGGGTTACTCCTGGCTTTGCACTCAGGAATTATTCCTGGCAGTGCTCAGGGGACCATATAGGATGCTGGGAATTGAACCCAGGTCAGCCATGTGCAAGGCAAACGCCCTACCTGCTGTACTATCGCTCCAGCCCCCATGTTCTAAAGGATATTTAGTTTTTTCCTTGCAAAATAAGTAAGAAAATCAGTCAGTAGTGCTATAGGATTTCCTCCCATTGAGTCATATATTAGGCATGGTACTGATATATCAGACAGAATACTTGACATTACTTTAAAACTTGAGGGCAGTTTTCCTTGAACTACAATGAGGTCTACCCTAGGTATTCCACGGCCTTATCTAAAAGTTTGTTGAGTTCGGTATTCCACGGCTTTATCTAAAAGTTTGTTGATTTAGCCATAAGTTCAACTGCTTTCAAAAATCTCTCAATTTTTCAAAGCACCTGAAGCATACATACACTGAGGATAGCTTTGACATTAGAAACAATCTTACTTTCATCAATAGTTTTTCTCATTGAGGATGGCTATATAGTATATTGACTTTCTACAAAGCTCTTACTGGTGAAGGAGTAAAATGTTATCTTTTATTTTGTTGGGGTTTTGTTTGATTTGGTTTGGGGGCCACACCCAGCTGTGTTCAGGGCTTACTCCTGGCTCTGCTCACTCCTGGCAATGCTCAGAGGACCTTATGGGATGCTGGAGATCAAACATGCATTGGACACATGCAAGGCAAATCCCAACCCACTCTACTATCTGCATTTTGCTTTTTCTCATTTTGTTTTTTTCTTAATCTTATATAAATATGAAGTCAGTAAGTATAGAAAAAGAAAACATACCTGTCTAGAGAAATAACAAATTCAAAATCACAAAGTGCCATCAACCAAAACTTTAGTTCTGCATAGAGTATGCCCCGATGTAGGAAACAGTTTAAATTCTCATAGCCATCATTTATGAGAGCTTAAAAATAAAAATTACATATTTTATTCAAATTCTAAACAAATATGTCTGAGTTAGTCTACATACTTCCCATTGTTCATTGTTCTTTTTTTAAATATTCTATAACACATCTTCAATGAGCATGTTCTTTGGTGAGTGAAACATGATTGCCACTCAGTGCCTCTTTTGCAAACCACAACACCCAAAAGGAGACAGAGAACAAAAGGGAATGCCCTGCCACAGAGGCGGGGTGGGGGAATGGGAGGTGGGAAGGATACTGGGACCTGTGGTGGTGGAAAATGGGCACTGGTGTAAGGATGGGTATTTGATCATTGTATGATTGAAACCCAAGCACAAAAATTTGTAAGTCTACAACTGTACCTCATGGTGTTTCACTAATAAAAATTAAAAAATTAAAAAATTAAAAAGAGAGCATTTACATAAAAAATGTATTTGTCTATTGCAATGTGGCTATCATGGCTCACAAACTCACTAGAGTAATAAGAAATCCTGGAGGTAATCCACTCACTTTACAAATAAAGAAAATAAGGTCAAAGGAGTAGACCTACAATTTTCATAGTCATGAAACAAGACAGAGACCAGCTAGAACTTAAATTTTATCCATTTCAGCAGATTGCAACTAGAAGAACAATGAACAGCCTTCCCATAATAGCCTCCTATTATCATGAAAAGGGGTACTGTTAATTGCCAAGGAATTAGCAACACATATAATCTCATACAAATTCAGACTACAGCATAGTAGAGGTCAAACAAAAGTCAGGAAGGGCAGCTAAAAGAGGTCATCTGAACTTGGATGGCTAGGCTGAACTTGAGAGTTAAGGTAACAACATGACTTTGTATGCCTCAAGTAAGAGAAGCAACAAGGAAAAAGAATGTCATGTCAGTAGTCCTGCTGTGACTATCATCAGTAATCTCTAAACTGCACTACCCATTGTCCCATTTGCTGATTAAAAACCATGCTAGTCAATTAGAATGGTTTTTACAAATTGACCCATGTTTCCTAAAGTTCTCAAGTCAATTCAAAGAAGAGAAAATACTGCAAAATAACAATCCTCTTAGGCTGTCATCCCCGAGAATTTGTGCAACTGTCATTGTAAGAGTCCAAATGGCTTTTTAATTAATTTCTTGGTCCTGCTAAATATGTAATGATGTGATTCCCAGATAAACATAGTCATTTTTGAAATATAATGATCTGGCTAGATTTTGCCTATCAGGGAAGGTTGATTTATTCATATAGTAATAGCTATTAACTATTTACTGAGCTTTTTCTGCTCAAAATCATACTATGCATATTCACGTTCCAGGAATACACCTGATACAGGGTGAAGTGGAGATAGTCACTTTAAAGTTTTGGCATCCTCTACTAATAATTCTCAAAGTCTTGTTTTCAGTGTGAGATTTTAAAACCTTGATTTTTAACTGACCAATGGTCTGGGCATATGAAATATGACACAGCCCACCGAAACAAATAGGCCAAGATTTCCAGAAACATTCTTTGATTCAATATAAAATGATTTCTTTTAGATTGTATTTTTTTCTTTGCCATAATTATAAACACACACACACACTCACACACATACACATACTCACAGGCACATACATTTCACTGAATATCATAAATTTACATAAATATATTCCCATATTACATTTATAATTATATACATTATATTAGGTAATAATACATATTAGTCACCCCAAATTAATATTTCACTTTGTTAAAGAATGTTGCTGAACTTATAAAATGACCAAAATGTATAGTTGTCAAGACTAGAAAATGTATATGTGAAACCTGTAATAATATGATAAGCCAGTATTACCTCAAAAAAAAATGTGAAAGTTGAAGAAAAAGTACCTGAAACACTATAATCCTGTAGTGCTCTCATAGGCTTTGTCTTTCTATATAAACAGGCTCTATAATACATTGCTAACCAGTTATTTGGATCTAAGTGAATTGCAAAAGAAAAATCTTCAGTTGCTTGTCTAAATAAGTTTCGTTTATAATATGCTCTCCCCCTGTACGTCCTAGAAAGAGAAAAAGAAAAAACATTTTAAGGGGCCAGAGTGATAGTACAGTGGGTTGGACACTTGCTTTGCATGCAACTAAACCTTGGTTTAATCCCCAGCACCCCATTGGCTCCCCAAGCACTATCCTCCTGTGGTTCATCGATTTGCTTGAGCGGGCACCAGCAACATCTCACAACAAATTGTGAGACTTGTTGTTGCTGTTTTTGGCATATCGAATACATCATGGGAAGCTTCCCAAGCACTACCAGGAGTAATTCCTAAGTGCAAAGCCATGAATAACCCCTGAGCATCACTGGATGTGGCCCAAAAACAAACAAACAAATAAACAAACAAAAAAGTCAACAATTTAACACATATTGCATAATACATATTTCTACATTTGGTAAAACTACACATCTAATTTTATATCTGAATAATACTTTTTGATAATTTCTGCTTCCCAGGAAAATTTAAAAATTTAATAGAAAAAAGATATAAATATTTTGTGCAAACAATTACACTACACCTTATAGTATACAAAATTATGTGCTTAATAATTTTAAGCTATGCATTAGTTCAGAACCTCCATGATTGTGCAAGGAACGCCAAGCAAGATATAGCTAAAAAAAAAAAGAAAAAAAAAACGCCTGTCTTAGAAAACTCTTGAGCTTATTTGCCAACATGGTTTGGTGCATGCCTCAGGCAACCGCAAGTGAACGTCCGAGCTTGCAAAGCAGTGCAGAGATGCGATCAAGGAAGACCTCAAAGAGAGAAGAGCAGAATTGCTGGTAGATGCGACAGCAGCTGGGAAAAGTATTCATAACGACTGCCTGTCCTTCACCAACTTCAAGACCAAGATGACTGCCCTCCGACGTCCTGATGGATCCATCACATCTTCCAGAAGGGCAATGGAGAAGATTATCCATGACTTCTACTCAGATCTCTTCGATAGCTATGTCCACCTGCCCACATACCAAATTCCACAGGATGGATATGTCGTTCCCAATGTTTTCCCTTCCGAAATCTGACACACCATTTCGTCAGTAAAGAAACGAACAGCACCCGGCCCAGACAAGGTCAGACCTGAACACCTGAAGAACCTGCCATCAGTACTCATCAATACGCTGGCTCGGCTCTTCACACACTACCTGTCTGAATGCAAGTTTCCATCCCAATGGAAAACCAGTAGGACTGTACTACTGTTCAAGAAGGGAGACATCCACAACATTGGCAACTATCGCCCGATCTGCCTATTGCCTGTCATCTACAAGCTGTTCACTCGAGTCATCCTGAATAGGACTGGCAGAACACTAGATGAAGGACAACCATGCGAGCAAGCCGGGTTCTGCAAAGGATTCAGCACCATCGACCATATCCACACGATAACCAAGCTCATTGAGGTTTCTCGGGAGTTCAAGATGCCGCTCTGTTTAACGTTCATTGATTTAAAGAAGGCCTTTGGTTCTGTTGAGACAGAAGCGGTCATTGAAGCCCTAGCCAATCAGGGCATTCAAGCTCAATACATCAAGATCCTCCGGGAGCTGTATTACGAATTCACTGCCAGGATCTCACCATTTTACAAAGAAGTAATCATTGATGTCAAGAAAGGGGTTCGGCAGGGTGATACCATTTCACCGAAACTCTTCACTGCCACCCTCGAGAACACCATGAGACTGGAATGGAAAGGAATGGGAGTAAAGATAGACGGTTGACAACTACACCACCTCCGCTTTGCTGATGACATTGTTTTAATAACACCAAACATTAGCCAAGTGGCACAAATGCTGGCCGACTTCGACTGTGAGTGTGGAAATGTTGGACTACAGCTGAATCTTACGAAGACAACGTTTATGAGAAACAGCCTCGTTCTTGACACTCCATTTGCTCTCAAGGGAAGAACCATCTCTGAATGAAACAGTTATGTGTACCTAGGTCAGGAAGTCAACATGACAAATGACCTGGCACCTGAGTTGCGCAGGAGGAAGAGAGCAGCTTGGAACGCCTTCAAGAGCGTCAAAGAGGGGGTATGGTACCACCAGCAGGTCAATCTGTACCTGTGAGGTGAGTGCATCAGCAGCCTGATGGCAACGTCAGACTTTCAGATACCCCAAAATTGCTGCTGTGCCTTTGGGTAGACCCCAAAAACTTGGGGCAAAGTTTACCAAGAAAGTAAACGGCCAAAAGTTAGGTATGTGGGAGACACACCCACAAACCACCTCCGGCTCAGCTATATAATTGGAGGCATGGCCTCTCTGGTTCCTGATCGAATTGCTTAATGGCCATGATCCCAGAGTCTCAGAAACGAATCTCGGAACCCAAAGGCTTTTGGCAGAAATACGTCCTGTTCCTGCAGTAGGTTACTGGCTCTGGGCCACTCCAGGTGGGAATGGGTTTCATGCCTTGGCCTGTTCCCCCTGGCGGCCTGGTGACCGCCATCCTCCAGAGGCCACTGGACAGTCAGGTTTGGGCCTGCAGTGACGAGACACATGGGGCCTCACCACAAGGGGGTGGAGCCGACTCTTTCTCCCCACCCCAACGAGACCCCAAGTCGCCACCTACAAACGGCCTCTTTGGCTCCTGATCAAGCTGATTAATAGCCATGATACCGGAGACTCAGAAACAAATCTTGAAACCCAGCGGCTTTTGGCAGAAATACATCCAGACTGCATACAAGGTGGCTGCCGGTTCAGAGCTTATTGGAAAGCCAGGTATGAGCCGGCGGTGATGGGGCAACTGCAGTCTCATGGGAAGGAGGGCTGTACCAGCTCATCCTTCACGCCCTACCGAGGTCACGAGTTGCCCCCCACAAGCGGCTCTCTGGCACAGCCATGGCTCCAGAGGCAAAGGGACTTAATCCAGAACCCGGCAGCTTGCTGCAGAAAAGTGAATGGACCATGCATTAAACTACAGTGCCATGCGTCCCTGGGAGGCAAAGGATGTTACTCCCTTCCGCCTTTTTCCCCCCTGGCAGGGTGTTGCTCCCTTCTGCCTTTTTCCCCCCTGGCAGCAAGGTGGTCACCGCCTCAGAGCTTATAGGAAAGCCAGGTACGAGCCGGCAGGGCAACTGCAGTCTCATGGGAAGGGGTATGGTACCGGCTCATCCTTCAGGTCCAGGAAGGAAAGGGTGTTGCTCCCTTCAGCCTTTTTCCCCCTTGGCAGCAAGGTGGCCGCTGCCTCAGAGCTTATAGGAAAGCCAGGTACAAGCCGGCGGTGAAGGGGCAACTGCAGTCTCATGGGAAGGGGGATGGTACAGGCTCCTCCTTCACGCCCTACCAAGGTCATGAGTTGCCCCCCACAAGTATTTAGTCCAGAGCCCAGCAGCTTGCAGAAGAAAAGTGAATGAATCATGCGTTAAACTACGGTGCCATGCTTCCCCAGGAGGGAAAAGGTGTTGCCCCCTTCTGCCTTTTTCCCCCTGGCAGCAAGGTGGCCACCGCCTCAGAACTTATAGGCATTCCAGGTACATGCCAATGATTTGAAGAATCATTTATTTTAATTATTTTATTCCTAATTGCACTGTAGGTCACGGTCACTGTCACTGTCCTCCCATTGTTCAACGATTTGCTCAAGAGGGCCCAGTAATGTCTCCATCGTGAGACTTGTTGCTACTGTGTTTGGCATATTGAATATGTCATGGGTAGCTTGCCAGCCTTTGCCGTGCGAATGAGATACTCTCGGTAGCTTGCCGGGCTCTCAGAGAGGGGCAGAGGAATCGACTCAGGTCAGCCATGTTGGCCGCATGCAAGGCAAATGCCCTACAGCTGTGCTATCGCTCCAGCCCTACTTTTCAACATAAATTTTATTTTGTTGTTTTAGGGCCACACCCAAGCATACTCCTGGCTCTGTGCTCAAGGATCATCCTGGAGGTGGTTGGGAGAATGTATATTTCCAGTGATCAAACTATGGTTAGCTGTGTGCAAGGTCCTTAACCTCTATAGTATATCTCCAGTCCCACAAATATGATTTCAAATTTAATATATTACCAAGTATAGCTTTAGAATGCCATTAATCATGTCAATTCTTCAACACATTAAAATTTGCATTTGTTCCTTCTTTGATTCCCCCTGTCTCAATACTTTAGACCTTTATCAGCTCATACCTGGACTACTTTATCTTACTTTATTTCCTAGCTCTTGAGTGACAAAATTTAATAATCAGAATAATATCTCTTTTCTCATAATCTTTCAAAGATCCCTTATTGACAATAGGATAAAGCAAATTTTTTACAGAGGCATAAAAGACATTTATAAAATAGTACAATTTACATAAATTTAATTACCCTTCTCTTGTTTTTCAACTAACTTGGTACCTTTCTGAAAGCAATGTCTCTTTAATTTAAAAAGATTCTCTTTAATTCAAGAATAGCTAGTTGAAATAGCCAGAACAGATATATATTCTACAGAGGCATAGGGGGAAGCATTTGATAAAATTTAGCCCCAGTCAGAAGATCTCTCAGTAAACAAGGAAAAAATGGGAGCTTTCCAACTTATTTAATTAAATGCAAAATAAGTCAAAATAACACAATGGTGAAATATTCAAATCTTTCCCACTAAAATGATTCAATGCAATGATGCTCCCTCTCAACACTCTTTTTTATCATACTGAAGTCTAGACAGTTCTGAAAATCTACTAATGAAAATCATACTAGGAATCAAAATAGAAATTGTACTGAAAATCTAGACATTTTGGTATCAGTGACAGGAGTAATAAATAAATTGGAATTTGGAGACCATAAATACACCTGTATAAATAGAATGAACTAAAGGCAAAACAATGGAGCTGTTACTCTCTTCAAGGGATAATACTGAAACAATGTATATCTATACCCAAAAAGAAAACAATCAATATAGACCTTACATTCTCACATAAATTAACTCAGAACATATCACAGATCAAAATGAAATAGAAAACCCATTAAATTCATAAGAGAAAACCTCCATGACCCTAGAGGCTTAGGGATGCCTTTTAAGATATAGCACCAAAGACTCGACCTGCGAAAGAAATAATTGATTTAGCTA